AGGAAAACAGACAACATCAGTGTAGAAAATGAATGGCTGATGGGAACACAGTTATAAACCTCAAAAGAGACAAAACCCAACCACAGAAGTTGATTTACACTGAAGAAGAGGAGGGAGAAAAGATCTAAGGAGAAAAATTCAGACTTGAAAAATACATACCAATTTAAGAGAGTACATTGGTACTGCGTACCAGACACAGCTGTCTGTCTGCTGTGGAATTGCTTTTTTCACTAGTGCAGCATCCAAAACTATCTTCCACTGTATTGCAATAGTAAAAGCCAGCAGAATTTCAAAATAAAGTAAGATGATCACATTAGTATCAATGACATAATGCAGCCAAAGAGAACGGGAGGTAGGGTCAAAGGCCCTAATCTCATTTTCATACAAGCACCCAGCAGCACCCAGCTCAGCGCAAAGAAGAGTTCACGCTGAAGGTCACCACGGTCACATCCAAATGACAAATCACATTTCTGTGAATTAACTGCAGCTATAACTACAAGTATTCAGGATTTCCTCTCTGAATTTTCTGTCCCTCCATCACCCTGGAAAAACAAGAAGCTATCTTAAGCATCACCAGTTTATATGCACAGTCCATCTTCTCCTTGACATTATTTGAAAGAAAAAAATGGTTCTGTCAAAGGGGTTCCCTCTGCCTACATCCCCTAAGGAGCAAAAAGTCTAGAGAGAGAAAGAGATATTTCTGTATCTTTGGATTTTTACCAATTCACTGATCAAAAGTTCATGCTAAAAATCACCCTCTGCCTCTCCCGCTTCTGCTCTCAGCCTCTGCAAGTAGGAGATCTTATGTCGTGTGTGTTCAGGGAGAGAGAGCTCCATGCGGTAAGGTAATGTATTTTACTGCGCAAGTGTGCAGGGAAAGAAGGAGATGAATGCCCTGTTCAGGGTTTGCATTACTACGTACCATGGAAATGGCTCCTGAGCCCCGCTGCATCAGGGCTACCTAGGGATGGAAGGGCTGCCAGGCTGAGGGAACAGCATGCTGCCTCCAAGGGGGGCCCTTAAGAAGTTTTACTGGTTGCCTAGGGCTTGACTAACGCCTTCTCTTCCCTTGGCTTCATAAAGATTTCTAGAGAGTATCTGAGATTTGACCCTGAATATATGATGCTATTCTTGTTGTGTAATAAGCATCAGTGGTGTCAGGCGTATAGAGGCAAATCTGCTCTTTGTTACAGAGCTACACGTCAAAATGAGTTTGTAAAACACGCTACAAAGAGGATGAAATGCTGCTTACAATGCAAAGCCCGCTGAAATCTACATATTGCTGCAATATTTATTATCAGCCAGAGCATATTATCTGAGATTAATAAATTGTTCTTAGTCCATATTATGGTAAGGCATAGCAACTGCCATAAAGCAGCACTGTCACATAAAGAAATTTCACCAAAGTACCCTGCTTGAAATAATGACTTTGTTTATCTATAACTTTACATTATTGATTGGGTTTGCTGAACTGAAGAGGGACTATGAAGTCATTCCAAAAGAACTACTGAGAAGTCTGGAAGCTCAGCCAACATAAAGCTAGCAGCAAGAAGGCAATTTCCCCGAGAAAAAAAATAGTCATACTTGCTTATTTTACAAATACGCAAGCAAACTACATTCTGTTTAAGTAAAGAAGAACTAATGCCAAACATGTGGCTTTTAGTGTCTGATTGTCACAATTTTTACTGGTAAGAATTTTTTTCTTGTAAGACTATAGTGGACCTGAAACAAAGCAGCAACGCAGGAGGATGCCATCCAGTTTTTGAGGACATGAAAAGCAAAGCTTTCATATAGGCATTCCAGACTGTCCTATGATCCAGCCACATATGGGTAACTTCCAAGACAACAAGCTTAAAAATGGATGTATTAAAAAACCAATTCCTCCCCAAACACTGACTAGTTGATTTCCTTCAGCTCGTGGTTAAAACCTCAGCATTGCTAACCCCACCTGGCAGATTTAGATCCAAGGGAAGATGTTGGAGCATTCAGCATCGTCCTGTCACTCCCAGTTCTGGCGCACTGACTCCCCAGTCAGGCGCCGTGGATTGCCTTACCCTCACCTCACACCAGAGATCTGCAGTGCTGACATGTGTGTCCCAGGCAGCTGTCTGCACCACCTGCACTCAATGGAGAGGAACAGGCGCTCATGGGCTCGAGTCTCTCTCTCTCCCTAAATTAGACAGCTAGAATAGGTCGAAAGAATTACCGCCTGGACACAGCAACTGCTATGCGGCCCGTATGCAGGGAGGCGAGATAACTAGCGCAGATGCAGATAGCTACATTGCAGATGTCTAACTACGCAAGACGAATCCTGAACCCCACAGACAGCGGCCAGGGGAAGTCAGGAGCCTCACCAAGGCAATGCCTCATAGCCCCACACATTGCATGAGGGGCTGCACAAGGACCGACCCAAAGCAAACACCTACCACAGGGTATATGAAATCCCTTTCTGCTCCTGAAGACTAGGTGGCAATAGGCAAATATATATACATACATATATATATTTATAATCCTTATGCAGGATAATTTAAAACATGTCTGAAAACCAACCAGAAAAAGGCCAACTGTTGCCTCGCACCTGCCACCAGCACCTACAAACTAGGCTTGGTATTTTGTTTAACAAAGACCAGATTGCACAACAGCAATCTGGTATTGAAGGAAAGGATGCTGCCATCCCTTTGGAGGTGCCATGCTGCACTTCCCAGCCAGTATCCCACAAGAAGAGAAGACTGTCTCTCAGCAAGAAGTTATTTTTTGTTGTTAACTGTATAACTATTCACAAGAAAGAGCTTACAAGCTCACTTAAGAAAGAACACACTCCATGGGACAGTCTTCTAGACTCTGAGGTCCAGCCTGCCTCACTTAGGCACTTGGCGTAGACCTACGCTGTACTGCCTACTGAAGCAGTCTTTCTATGCATGCCCCTGCGCTGCCCGGTTATTCAGCAGAACAGTAGGTGCCTTTCCACAGCCTCAGAGGAAATTCCTGTCTGCTAACTTTAGATGCTGAAATTGAGCACACAGGATCTCCCTCTGGAAGGCTTCAAAGGCACTTTCCTCTCTGCAACAAGGGTACGTAGAATGCGGGCTTTTATTATCGGTGGACTGCTTTGCTAAACGTCTAATATTAAGGTACGCATTAGATGCCTAAATGAAGAATAGGGCCCGCCTGTAAGGCACTATATTATAGACCAAGAAAGAAATGGACTGAGCGGAGTCGGTATAACGTGCTAACGTCTCTTTTCAGCTCAGCAGCTGTATGTCTGGTGTCTGTGACTGAGAATGAAGTGAAAAAGAAGACAAATTGCAGATCGCAGTCAAATTAGATTTTCCTAATAGGGCTTTTGAAATAAACTAACAGATTACTGTTTAAATAAAACCTGTAACAAGAATGAGTTGATGTTATATTATTAAATTTCTTAATTTAATTCTTAAGCTCCAGAGCCAGCCAAGTAATATTCAACACATTTACCTTCACAAACTGTGGAATGCATTGTGGAAAAGCTAAAAAAGCTTTTCATGGTTAGACCAATTCTTTAAGTGTTCAAGCAATATCAATCACAGAGAACAGTATCTGCTTGCCAGTCATATGTTAGAAGTATTTGCTAGCACCGCATGCTTCCTCTTTCTATTAATTAGGCAGAACCATTTAGTGCAATATCATGAGGGGTTGTTTTATTTTTCTGGTTTATTATGTGTGCTATAAACTGAGAAAAAAATACTTAGCACTTCAGGGCCTGGTGTTGTAACTATCAAATTCAAAATACGTGAGGCCTGTCTATCAAGCGATAGTGTCACTGGTGAAGAAACCTTACCTTCCTTTATCACCATCACAAGGGGAGCATGCTAATTACAGTGAGAGCCAACGCCTTGCCTTGCCCATAGAGAACTCCCACTCTGCTTAAGGGGAATATAGGTTTGAGGTTACTCCGCTTGACTAGAAAATGAATTAGTGGATGTCTAGTGAAAACCTCCAAAAAATAGTTCCCCCTCAAACATGGCTTAGTTTCCTCTAAGCAAATAGGACATTGCTTTAGAAATGTCAGCACTTTTGGCTACTGATGGCCAGGAAAACAAAGCAAAACTAAGTACTTTTAGGTAAGACGTTTAAAATGTATCTATAATAAATTCTATAATAACAATGTCTAATAGCCTTTATTATATCCCTTCCTATTTAATAACATCCAGAATGCCCGTATTTTGAACCTCTCAGATAAAGTGTTTTGTGGGTCTAGCACAGGCTTCAGTGCCTGGAGGCTCTAGTTCTATTTCCAGCTCTGCTTCAGACCTACAGGGTGACCTTTACGCATAACCTCATTTTCCTCACCTATAAAATAGGGATATTAATACTTATTTACCTCACAGTTGGTTCCCTTCCAGCTGCTACAGTGACTGAGCAAGCTCATGCATCTACAGAATTGCTAATGTTCATGATAAACTTTTACTTTTTTTTTAAACAAGCCATACAGACATTACATTAAGAAATTATTTGTCCATCCAGTGAGTAGAAGTACACAGAAAAATAATAGCAATGGAAAAACTGTTCAAAGCCCCTCACTAATTTATTTTCAATGATACTGTCCTTCAGGAGAAATGTAGGTAGTTCCTCTTTGACAGCAACTAGAAGAAACTTCTTGATGCTGCTTTCAGTCACAAAAAAAATTCCATGTTTTTTGAGTGAAAGTCTAACCTGGTCTCCCTTTGAAGAGGATATAAAAACACTGCAAGCTTTGCAAGTAAATAAAGGGGAAGAAACAACTTCAATTTGAAACTTTACCTAATAATGAGGACGGAGAGAAAGAAAGGGAGAGAGAATCAGAGAGGGATGAGAGAGACAGCCATCTCTTCCTAAAGGTAAGGAAGCTACACAGAAGAGATGCTGGCAGGTATGCCAGCCCGCAGCTGGGGGGACACCCCCGCGGCACCGCCGAGGGCCGGTGCCTCCCTCGGCCAGGGAGCACCTCAGCAACACTCATCTCGCTCTGGGAATGTGATACTTACTCTTGTACTGCTCTGGCTATGGAGAGCGCTGTAGATCCAGTTTCATTAACGCTATCTAAGGTCACATTTGGCAGGTCGTCATCATCACTGTCACTTTTAATTTGTCTGGGAGATAGGCCTCGGGGGTCCATTTGTGCTGGAAAGAGACATATAATGGATTAATACGAGCGTGCTGAAATTAATCTCATCCCAGAACAACATAAGGGTGCACAACACATCTGCTCGCTCGGGCTGGATGGCACCGCTTTGTGCTGAGCTTCCCAAATCAAGTGATGGATTCTCAAAGGCACCTAGCAGTGCTACAGCGAGGCGCGAGCATTACCAGCGGCGTGTAGGCGTGCGAACACACACAGGCTACACCAACGCATTCAGCGGACCTGAAATAAAACTGTGTGTGTAATATTCATCAAAAACTCAGTTTATCCTCAAGTTACTTATTCTGGATGTCTTCAGAAAGCAAAGGGAAAGGGCTATGTCTGTTTTGCACAACACAGCACACTCAAGAGTAAATTTTACAGCAAAATTTCAGGAACAATCTTTGATTTCAACTGTCCATCATGAGATACCAGGCTGGGAACCATGTCACTCCAGTTAACTAAAAGTTAGGTGTCAAAAACCCCTCAGTTGTACTCATTTCTGACTCATTTCAACACCACTGTCAATCTCTGAAGGAGCCTCCCCTCCACATTACATGTGGCAAAGCTGCTGCATGTAACTTCACACAGGCAGCTAACTTTCTGGTGACTGATGTCGGCTAGGCTTAGGCAGATTTTTTTGAAAAGTCACATAGTCTCGGGTCTTAGGAACAGCCGAAATCAGGAATTGCACGATTGTTTTGTCCATCCACAGCTTACAGTATCCATATGGTATGGCAGTGCGCTGGGTGCAGGTGCCCAGGTGCTGGCAGCAAGGGCTGCAGGGGCGGCCTCTGTCAGGAGAGGCCGGGGCTGCCCCATGCCAGACACAGCCAGGTCCAGCCGTCTCCAGTGGACCCACCGCAGGGCACGGCTGAGCCCCTCAGCCAAGGTGGTGGCACCTCGGGGAAAGCGTATTTAAGAAAGAGCAAAAAAAACGCCACGCAAGCAGAGCGAGGAAGAAAGTGTGAAAAACAGCCCTGCAGACACCAAGGTGAGAGGGGAAGGAGGAGAGGACGTGCTGTTCTGTGGTGGAGCAGAGATTCTCTTCACCTGAAGAGACCACAGTGGAGCAGGGGAACAGCATGAGGAGGAAGGAACAACAGAGAGGAGCTGTTACAGACTGACCACAGCTCCCATTCCCCATCTCCCTGAATGAAGGAGTTAAGTGGAGCCCGGAATAAAGGGGGCGGAGGGCAGGTTCTTACTGTCCTAATCTACTTCTAATTGGCAATAAATTAAATTAATTTTCCCCAAGTCAAGTCTGTTTTACCCGTGAACGTAATTGGTGAGTGATCTCCATGTCTTTATCTCAGCCCATGAGCTCTTCCACCTTATTTTCTCCCCCATCCTGTTGAGGAGAGTGTGAGAGCAGCTGGGTGGGCATCTGGCAGCCAGCCAAGATCAACCCACCAGAGTTACATTTTGTGCCAAAAAGAGATGGGAAAGGAATGGAGAGCAGAAAGGTAGGCTACCTGCCTTCCCTTTTATCCTGGCTGCTGCCCTCCAAAGGGAAGTAAGCACAGCCTGCATATGGGCAGGGGGAGGAAACCAAGAAATGGGTGTGAGGGGAACTATGAGGCACAAGGGTGCCTTGGGATAGTCCTGAGAGGAACTGGGGGTTGCTTGTGTCAGGGGACAGACCCAATGACAAACTTCAGAGGTGATGTAGAGAAAGAGACATTCCTCCTCAGCCATTAAATACCACACATGATTAGTAAGTGCTGAGAGACAGGGAAAGCAGCTGGAGTAGAGAGCAAAACTGGAGAGATGCCTGACGCTGCGAAAGAGGAGCAGGAAGGGGAAGATAGGCAAAGAGATTTGTTGAAATATGTGTTTGTTTTGTTTGGCTAGGTGAAATAGGGGAATCCAAGATTATTTATTTAAAAAACTAACTGTTAAGTTTGTTAGCTTGTGCTGTCCTGTATTGCAGTGTCAGATATAGGACAACTTCTGGGCCTTGCGATTTGCTTTTCAAGAAAAGTAGCTGTCATTCCTACTCAGCTCAGGCTAACCACAGCCCTGGACAACAGGTATCACAGGCTCCCTTTAGAGATCATGAACAGTTCAGCAAGCCTATGGCTAGACAGCAGGTCCAAAAGTCACAGTTAAATTCCCATTTTGCCATGTTTCTTATGTTACCGTGTTCACTGACTCTAGAAAAGGGACTGAGTTACACTGAAGAATGAGAGGGCTGTAGATACTCCAGGAGCTGTGCAGCCATAAAAGTAGCACTGATGGATAGCTGGGCTCTTGAAAAGAAAGCCTTCCCCAAATGAGTTATGAATCGAGGGAAAGTTGGTCTTAAATTTTAATTTATGTCTTAGCTGTGAACCACCTCTGAGTAAAAGAACAGTGAGTGATTATAACTACCCTTCAGCTGCATTTTTTTATGTTTAAGGACTTCATAAAGAAAATACTATTAACATACGTTCAGTAAGCTGATGCAACAATCCCTTCTGGAAGCACAGTGCATTTACAGATGCACAGTGTGACTTCTCTTAGCTTTCTACTAGCACAGTTTAGGAGCCTCAGTAATGCTGGCTACATTTGGACTGCTTATTATTTCTTAATGTGTGGTAAAGAAAACACCTTTTGCTTATCAAAGCAGAGACTGTTGACAATGAACAATGACCTACATGAGACAACCATACAGCAACTTAGAAATTGTTCCAAACATTTAATTGTTTCAGGTAGAATGAGCACCATTCTGACTGTGCTTCTGAAAATCACAACTTACACATAATGGTACTCAATGCATACCTGAGCATTAGGGATAATCTAGTACTTGATTTAAGAGCAACTGAACCACCTAGTCAGCTGATTTAGCCCCAGAAAACTATTTGGAAAGAAGTGCTATTTTTGAGGATGTCTTGTTCCCTAATGTTCCTTCTTCAAAGCAACTTTAAGTATGAGATTATTATTACTTATTTCATTACTTCTTCAGTTTTTTTTGAAGTGAATCTCAGTACAAGAAGTTATATGTTTGTATCTGCCCAGTATTTAAATGCTGCTATACGTGATGCTTTTATGAAAGCTAATGTTTGTAAATAAAATTAAAATTGTAACAAAAAACTATGTATGTGATACTTTGTATTAATGGTGGCTTAATCTGATTTACACTGCAGCAGAAGTTTTAAGGAGCTAGCTCAGAAACTTTCTTAATGTTTAAACCTAAGCCTAACTTGAAATCACGAAAGTTGTCACATAATCTAGTCTGTAATACAGTTATTATACACAAATTTTGATTACTTAAGTGTGAATACACCTACATAAAGAGACAGTATCAATGTGTATGAAAAATCTTACATACTTTTGTTCCTTATAAGACATGCTGTTTCATTTTTATTGCAGATTGCCAGCTCTTAAGATATTATTGAGACTCCTATGGTATTTGGTGTTGTTTTTAGATTACCAGAGGAATGTGCTAGGATGAAAACTCTCAATTACATTAAAACGCTACCTTCTTTTTGTTTCTGCTCAGCGAGGTAAATCCTATTCTGTATACTCCTGCCATAGCCATGAAGTTGCCAATGGGGTTGTGCTTTTGCACCTAGGGACAATTTGGCCCACTGGACACGGTTTGCCCCACCAGACGCCAACGTTTGAGCACATCACAAGGTGCTGTGACACTTGAGCATGGTGAGAACAAAAGGCGAGGAATGGAAACGTATCAGCGGGCAAATCAGCGGGTGGGTAATTCAAGGACATTTTTTGTTATATTTTTGCAGTGAACCCAACTAAAGATGATAATTAAATGAGAGAATGATCTAGGGATTATTCCCTTATTTTTTAATGTCGGCCCACATATACACCCTTTTTTGTCCCCTCCTCCACTTGTGACGTCTTCTCAGCTTGCAGACTTGGGTGGCCGAGGCGCTGGGGAGCCGAGGGAACTAACCGGGAGGCTGAACTGCACCGCTGCCAGCTGGTGTAAACTGCCCTGCTTTCTCATCAGCATGGCTGCAGTTGCTGCGGGGAAAAACAGCCTTTAAAGTTATTCTCCTCCCCCAAATGAGCCACGTGAATAACCAACTGGCCAAAAGCCTAACAGATATCTCCTCCTCACCACCCACTACAGTGTGCAGTACAGGATTTTTATACATTCAGAGTTCATGACTCCTACTTATGTCAACAGCTTTGACTTTCTGTCGGACATCTAAGAACAACTGTCGAACTGCTGGCACCAAGGTTTATAAATACCAGCAGCAGTTCATAAACACTGAATTAAGAGTAATTATTGGCCTAACGAACATCAAGCTGAAAAGAATGAAGAGATGCTGGCAAGAGATAATTTAGCAAATGAGATGAAAAAGGTGGAGGACAAGTGAGGAATGGCATGTGACTGGCAAGCAAGGTGGAGGAGAGCCCAGAAAACATGCCAGTGCATTTTAAACTCCCTTCGTGCTGTACCTTGCTCTGACGACCAAGCTTTTCCTTGAACTTAGGACCATGGGTCCAGAAGGTACCCAGCTGGGTCACTGAATCGAGTCCTCCCTATCACAGGCAGACACATTTCATTAATAAAGCTCAAGCCTTAAAAATGAGCTGGTTTTCTTGCCCTTGCTACTCCTCTTGAAAAGCAAGGTTTGTCCGACAGAGCTATCCAGTGGTTTTGTGAAGTGTGAATGAGACTAAGGCGAGGCAAGCAAAAAGAAACGAGTCAGAGACCGCTTTCGTGGGACAAAGGTGTCATTGAAGGAGTGCACAGGAGCTACAGAAGCAAGCTGTTAGCACTCCACGCTGAAAAGACTGGCGAGCCAGGGAAGTTACTTAAGAAAGTCTGCAAGTACTGAAGGCTGCAAGCGGCCACATCGCTTTCCATCCTTGTTAGCCTCCAGAAACAATGATCCTTTTTGCTAAGGAAAGTACAGAGAATTGCTCTTGATGCATGTACGTATATGCAATCACTTCTCAATCGCCCCTTTGCCAAACTGTAGCAAAAAGGAGTTTCCCTTCGGGCAGTATGAGCGAATTCACTCTCTGCACTTGTTTTAAGGTA